CTCCCTCTCAGCTTGTAATTCTATGCTCTCCCTACATACTTGAGTTCGTAAAATACCCAGCGACCCTAACCATTCAGAAGTGGACATAGGTCACGTTGACCGAACCACTTTATTTTTTGTCTTCTCTCTTTATTGATTAATTACTACATTTATTAGTGATACTTGACAGGTGGTGTGCAAAGCCAATTTGTGCATCATCAGTTTGGCACCGTCTAGGGGAAAGATCAAATTCTTACTTCAAAACACTCCCTCTATTGAACCTATGGCGACCACACTAGATCCATGAATCAACATGAGGATAATCCAGCACGAGAGGAGGAGGTTGCTCCTCCACCAACCAATCTTGTCAAATGTGCAACAGATGGTAGAGACCATGTAGCAGCTTGTGGCCAAAAAACCAACAGATCCTACAACTCATGCTCGTTGGACAAGGAAGAGCACAACTTGGAGGACCTCAAGGAGCTCCACGCCCTGGGCGTCAAGGAGCTCCCCATAGGGGTGCCCCCTTGGGAGCTCTCTTGTGCACCCCACCCTTGGGAATCCCTTTGGCCACCCCACATAGGGGGGCACACCATGAAGGACCTCCACCTCCCCCTCTAACTCCCACTTCTCATGGTGTGGACCCTCTTTTCCAAGAGGATGAAGGTGAGAACCAGAGTATGGAGCATGGAAGCTATTTTCATAATAATTCCAAAGGAGCTCTCAACCACTAGGACAAAAAAATAAAAGAGGTGCAAAATCAACTGGGTGACATATTCAATGCCATGAAGGCGCAAGGACCTGAGACTATGGACTACCTTGTTAGGCAAAATGACACGCCTTTGAAACCTAACGTGGTGAACTACCCCCTCCCTCAAAAGTTCAAAATGCCATCTGTAGAGACCTTTGACGGAATGAAGGATCCACTAGACCACCTCGAAACTTACAGAACTCTAATGCAGCTGCACAATGTCCCCGACGAGATCATGTGCAGGGCATTTTGAACCACCTTGAAGGGATTCGCCCGACAATGATTCACCAGACAATGGTTGGCCAATCTCTCCCCAGTTTACATTGCCTCTTTGCTGAGCTGAGCAGGTCCTTTGTGTCGCACTTTATAAGATCATGTGCAGGGCGTTCCCAACCACCTTGAAGGGATCCGCCCGACAATGGTTCGCAAATGATGAGAGCCAAGGTGGGCCTACTCTTAAAGATCCTTGGCATGTTCAGATGGGCCAATTACAAGGATCAAGAGCCAAGAAGATCAAGGAAACAATGCAAGGATTGGTGGGATGAAGCTAGCAAGAGCCCAACACTCAAGTTGGGCTTGAAAGAAGGAGAACCAATTTTGATCCACTTGATCCAAGCAATGGAAGACATGAAGACATGCCTTAGAGATAGGGGTTTTTGTTGTTAAGGCTTTCAATTTGTTTAAAGAATTTTTATTATTAGTTTAGAATAAGTGGGTTTGAGGATGTTTAGCCCACACATGTTTTATTTCTTATGAACTTTCGTAGTTACTGTAGCAACACACTATTCACACTTTTTAGGGTCTAATTGTAAGGCTTGTATGTCAAGTACTTTCCTTTTTCTATTTAAGCATGTGATCAGCCATTTAAAGGGCTGAATGTCTTTCTTTTTTTCTTCAAGAGTCTTTGGAAAGTAAGAGATATTTCTTTACCCACAAGTAAGAGATATTTCTTAAATAGGATAGCTATTTTAGGAAGTTTCCTAATCCTTGTAATGACCAGCCTATAAATATGCATTCAAATCAATGAAAGTTCAGATCATTATTCAGCAAAAAAAAAAGTGTTGCTTAGTTCACATTTACCAAGGCAAGTAGTGGCAAAGGGGATTCTTCTTAGTGTGAACCCATAAAAAGAAGTAGAGAGAGTACCATTGGGACCAGATTTTTTGAATGTATATGTTGAGGAAGCAGTAGTGCCTAATACTTATTTGGTAAGACATTTTCCTGGTGTAATTACTGTTGGGCAGGCAATGGAAAAAAGTGTTGCTTAGTTGTCTAGTGATGTATGTTTTATCTTAATTAATATGTATATAATTAGCAACCAAATATATTATTGACAATAATAACACAAATCATATCTTTTGCAAGTGTTATCAAAAGTGTAGATAGCGCAGAGAGTAGATGACGCAAGGGTAGAGAGTACACATTGTGCATAATTATAAAGCAAATGGTGCATTGGGAGACTAAATTTTTTTATTATGCATTGACACTTTTATTACGTAGTTTGAAATATTTTGTTTTTAAAATTTTGGATGCTATTTACTTATGCTGAATATATTTTTATTTTTAAATTTAAATGTTTTTGTTTTGAGAGATGTGCCTTATTATTTTAATCAAATGATGTTATGGATAATGTATTGGATATTTAAACAGGTCTAGAGAAACATGTGAAAGAGAGAATTATGTTTTAAAAAAATATATATTTATGAAAGCAAGTTGCTGACACAAATAACGTCAAAAGAGTAATATCATTTTTTTTGCATCGGTCTTCTACCATGGCAAATAATATATTTTGCAACAGTTAAAAACCATCGTAAATGGGTTTGTTGAGACTATCCCTTACTGTGGTTAATAATATCTTTTGTGACAGATTAAAACCGTTGTAAATGGGTTTGCTACGACGGTCCCCTACTATGGCTAATAGTATCTTTTGTGACAAATTTTAACCATTTCAAAAGGGGGTTTTTTGCGAAGGATCCCGACTATGCTTAATAATACCTTTTTTGACAGATTTAAACTATCGCACATGGGTTTTTTTGCGACATAAAATTGCTGATGCAAACAAAAATGTTGGATCTAAGATTTTTTTGTGATAGTGCATTTGCATCGGGTTTTGACAATGAAAAAGCTTTTGTGATGGTTATTGTCGATGCGAAATATTTTGCATCGCCTATTGCTTGTCACCCCCAATTTGCCAACTCAAAAGATCACGTTGCCGTCGCAAAATACTACTTGTGCAATGTGATCTTTTGAGTTGGCAAATTGTTGATGCAAAAAATCCCTTTTATTGTAGTGTCATGTTTCTAGTTAGTGTGCAAAAATGATAGTTAATTGACTTGATCTGAAATGTGTAGTAGAACTTTGCCATGTATCTCTGAGAAATGATTTTAGGCCTTCTTTGATCTACTTTGAGCCTTAGCCTTTCCGTTCAAATATTATCCCCAATCACCATGATTGAACTATAAATGAAAGTTTTCGTTTCCTTAACCACATATTTGACCAAGCCATATTTAATATGTTTATCCTACCATGGTTATTCTAAGATGAACAATGCTTATATTGAACAATGGAAGATGTGATGGTAGGAAATGAAACAATGAATTGAAAAAAAAAAAAGGCAAAAGCAAAAAAGTAAAGGAAAAAGGGCTGAAAAGAAAGAAAAGAAAAAGAGAAAGAAAATGGAATTGAAATGAAGGTGGATAGAACAAGAAAAGAAAAAAAAAATGATGCACCCACAAGGTGAATTGTGATTATAATGTTATATTCTCATGATAATTCACTTTTGAACACCTTTTTCCCTTTCTTTCTCTTAAGTTGGATAATTCAGAAAAATAAATCCTTTTTAATCTTTAGGATAAATGGCAAAAGTAAGTTCTAAAGGAAAAGAAAACTCAATTACAGTGTCTTAAATTTCCCTAATATTCCATTCATGAGATTATGCCATGGTCGTTTCAATTGTTGAATATGCATTTCAATTTTGGATTATATGTGAGCTTTATTTCATTTTTGAATACAAGATTCTACCTCACATATAAACATTGAGAAAGCCACAATAATCAGAGAACTATTTACTCTGAGAAGAAACCCTTGGTGAGAATTGCATTGAAGCTGAAATTGGATAGCTAAAATGGATGTGGAGGTTTTTGTTTAAATTGTTTAAATGGCATGCTCATTTCACACACACACACATGAGTCTTGAAGGGAGATTTGTAGGTGAGTACTTTTGAATAGCATTTAAGTCTATGGTGTGACTCATGGGTAACTAGTTCTGGTGAATGCGAAAAAAAATTGTTCAAGACACCCCAAGGCTGGTTAGGATGGTGAAATATGTCTCAAATGTTGGATGTGCAAAAAGGTGGGGAATTAAAGAAAAAAAATGTTTATAGGTTGCTTCACTGTAAACCTTCACGAGACAAACTCGTCTGCTTGGTATCACTTAATGGTTTAAAAATGAATATGGTAGGAAGAAATCATGAACATCATAGATCTTGTTTTGTGCTCTACTTGATGGTTTTCATTTTGTTATACTTAGAAATCCAAGACATGTGTTTTGATGTTTTCAAAAATTAAATTGCATTGCAATTTTGTCTATGAATTAGGGCAATGTCAGAAAGTTTTGATATGGTAGTGTAAACCTTGTTTTTGAGTAATTAAGTTAGCAAGTAGGTTGTTAGATTTAGATTAGAGTCAAATAAGTTAGATAAAATGTAAAGGAGTGAACGGGGCAGAGTAGGAAAAAAATTTCAAATTTGTGAAGGAGGTATTGGTACCTTATTCATTTGATACCGGTACCTATTTGGCAAAGCACTCAACTACCGGCCCTAATTCATTAAAACGTCAGTTTTAAAAGGGGGAAACTCAATTTTTTATTCTCATTTCTCGCGCTCAAACACTCTCTCCTCTCTCTAGAACACTTCCAATTTCTCTCAAAACTCTTGGGCACTCCTCTAATCTCTCAATTTCATCAATCAAAGCTAAGATTTTTGTGACTATAGAAATGAAAGGTAAGCACAATCCTCCCCATTTTGATTTCATTTCCTTGATTTGGGAGTGGGTTCTCCTATTCTTGATGTTTGGGATGTTGGTGGTCTTAATGGCCTACACCAAGCATGCGGCTTCCACCATGCTAAAGCAAGCAGGCACTAGGGAATCTATATTCTTTTCTAAATAAGCCAATGTAGCTCTTGCTTGCTGTCTATATATGGTAGGGTCTGGTCAACTTCCCCGCCACCTCTTTAGCTCATCTCTTGTCAGCGCTAGAACTTTTTCATAAATGATGTCATTCCCGACTCGCAAAAAGGCCGATGATTTTGACTCTAGTATGAGTGAGTCAAGGAGGAAAAGGAAAAATGATGTTGGCCCAAGTCCTAGTGAGCCTAGGAAGAAAAATAAAAATTATCAACATTCAGAAGCTATTGGGGTGAGGAATGTGACATGCAAGCGCCAGGTTGATAGACTTACTTTGGGGCCTACCAACATTGTGGTGCAAACCATTGAAAATCATAGCTTACATCTTTGGTTTCAAGAGGTGAAGGGGTATGTGCATCCCTTGTGTCGAGAATTTTATCAAGATTTGGTAGTTGTGGATGTTCTGGATTTGTTGAGAATATCTATGAGGGGAAAGGCCATTAATGTCACCCTGGCATCCATAGTTGTGGTTTTGAAGTACAAAAGGCCTAATGCCAACAAAAATGATTGCCCTCACCCCCAATGCAGAGATGAAGTAGCTCCATGAATACAAACAATTGATATATAAAGACCTCATAAAGTTCAAAGGAAAAATTCGAACAGGGGGGCTCAAGCATAGTTATAGAGTTATGCACAAAATCCTCCACTACAATGTCCTACCAAGGGGGTAGAGAAGAAGCCTAGGGTAGAGAAGATGGTCTTGCTGTATCAGTTCATGGTGGGGTTCCGGATGGAATCACTAATAATCTGGGAGGTTATGAAGGATTATGCCAAAGTCGCAAAGCCTAGGGCGAACATGCCTTATGCCCATTTAGTCTCCCATATTTGGTTAAGGAGCTGGATAAAAGCGTCCACAAGTGATGTGTTATCCTCACCTAAGTATGGCCCAATTGGTAAATAGAGTAAGTAGAAGAGAAGGGCTATGACTAGGGCGTCTGGGCACCCGAAAGAGAGGGTTGGGCCATCTGCATCTACATACACCCCATCGAGGACTATTCCTGAGCAATTGTCTAGGATTGAGGTTAGATTGGAGGATTTAAGGAAGGCTATGGTTGAAGACCGAGGGACTTTGAAGCTACTGATGATGATGATGATGAACAGAGTCTTCTAACAAGTATTCCCGGGAAAGCCTATAGTTTTAGGTACCTCCACCACTAGCCGCCACACCTGATATCCCACCACTTACTCTTGGGGTTGGCACGTCTGCATAGCCTGCTACTATGCCTCCCTCGACAATTGTGCTTAACGTTGAGGAATTTGATGATGAAGAGGAGGGTGATGATGAGGGGGAAGAAGGTGGTGATAAAGGTGATGATGATCAGGGAGATAAAGGAGATGATGATGAGGGTGATGATGAGGATGCAAAGGAGTGTTCTTTTGGTTTAAGTTGTTGCACAGTTAGGATTAAAATTATCAGCCTAGTAAAAGAGTCTCTAGGATTTTTGGGCCGTCTTGTTTTTGAATTCTAAATCCTTGTACTGAACTTTTGAAAGAAATAAATGAAAAGAACCACAGTTGTTTATTTTATCTTGCCCAAGTTCATTTCTTTATTTGCATTTGGATTGTTTGGTGACTTACTTGAATGAATGGATTGTTATAGTTTTCTACTTTGTGGTTTGAAAGTAAAGTTTGCTAGGGACTTGCAAAAACTCAAGTTGGGGGTGTGATTAGCACAAAATATTGCACATCATGTATACTTTTGTATCCGTTTTATATGTGCTTTTGTGGTGAAATGGGTGGAAATGCAATTAATCAAACAATTAATGAAGTTTCTGTGTGATTGTAGGTAAAGAGTTGGAAATGGTTTGAGTTAAGCACCCATCATAGTGCTCAAAGTCAATGGAGCTGATGGGGAGGCTTAATGGGTGGCTTGGAAGATGAAAAGATCAACAGAGGAGCAAATCAAGTAAAAACCTACCTGTAGGTTTGCTCATAAAACTACCGATAGGTTTTGCACATTGGAGTTGGACCTACTGGATCATCTGGCAAACCATCCGAAAGTTTTTCTTACTGGAACAAAACCTACCGATAGGTTTTGTGATTGATCTACGGGTAGGTTTTCCTGAAAAATGCCAGAACCTACAACTCAAAATCTGCTTACTTGGGGGGCCCACCTATGAATCTCTCACACATCCCCTGACATATTCTACATACAAGTATGACTCCCTACACCTAGGATAGGACTTTGGGAAAAAATGCATTTAAGCGGAAGAGAGAAAAAGATGGACGATGGTAGGTTACAGGCTAAGCTTGTCCTAGCCTGTCCAAGTGTCAAATCACTTCCCATTGATGGGAAACCTACTCTCATAGGCCATACGGTGGCTGATGGATGAAGATGCATCATTCCTACACCATTATTCAGCTAGAGAATATTTTAGAGAGAGAAGGTCCCAAGGAAGTAGACATAGTTTTAGAGAGAGAAGTTGGATTTTTGCATTTTCTTACCCATTTCACTTGTAGTAAGCTGTAATACTCTTGTAATCTTCATTTCTTGCACTTTAATCTTAGTTATTTCAAGTGTATTTCAAGTTTATTTATGTATTCTTGAATCTACCATGTTTACATTTGAGTTTTTCATTTCAAGAATTTTAGTTGGGTATGAAATGAACTTATCTTTGTAGTTTAACTTTTCTTTGCATTAATACAAGTTTAATCTTCATTTCTTAACCGTCTCTTTACATATTGTATGTCTTCCATCCATTATGAGTAGCTAAAGGGAGATTTCCTCTTGGGCATGCTAAATCAACTCTTCTTCATTCTTCCTTATAGTGTAAAGTGTTTGGTTTGACCAAGTTGAGTGCAGACGTGGTTGTGAGCTCTTGATACACTGTAGACTTATCACGGGGTTTGCTTGAGACTACACCTCCACATTAGTACCTCACTTCCTATGAATCAATCAAGCACCAAGACACCATTGGTAGAATGTTTCGAGTTGATTTGGCATTCCCACTAGAATGAACCTTTCGGATTAGCCAATTTTTTTTTATTGCATTTTATCAAAAATCCTAACTTACCAAAACACAAACTCACATGATTTTACACTTCTCAATTTTCAAAATCAGTTTCACCACAATTCAACCTTCCTTCCTTGAGGAGAAGACTTTGGAATACCCATTCCAAGTAAAACACGACACTTGCAAGTCTCTCTTTACTTGGGAATCACTTTTGCACATACACACACATTGTCATTCACACACACATTTTTTCCATTTCTAGCATCGAACTCGAGGGAGTGTGACACTCACCTACACACATAAGTCATATATACATAGTCCGAGTTCATGTTTGGAGATTAGGGCAAAACGCAACGAAGCTTTTTTGGCGCCGTTGCCCGGGAAGGCAAAGCTTTAAATTAGAAGGTGATTTTGGATAACGGAGGTAAGTCCCGTGACTCTCATCAAGGGCCGAGGTACGTTGCTCCTTGTATCTATTTTTGTTTACTTTTTCTTTCAAGTGTAGATATTATTTTTGCGTGTGGGTATGAGACTATCAAAATATATTAGTGAGACGAGGCCCAGAACCAAACATGAACCTAGACCAAGACCCACCTGAGGATGCCCGTGAAAACTTCGAGGATGATGATGCTAATGTTCCAAGGGGTGGGGGAATGCAAAACCCTAGAATGCCAAACCCCCGAATGCATTTTCCCCTTCCTAGGAATGAGGGAAACAATATCCTGATTGATCGTCCGACGAGGTCAATGCAGGATTATCTCGAACCCATTCATAGGACCACTCCTTCTTGTATACTTCTCCCGGTCCAACCTCATGCCTTTCTAGTCAAACCGGGAATGCAACAACTACTTCCTCAATTCCATGGAATTGAAATAGAAAATCCTTATTTGCACAATAAGGAGTTTGGGAAAATAGTTGCAACATTCCTTACAAATCATGTCATTGAGGACATAACTCGCATGAAATTGTTCCCTTTCTCCCTCAAAGATAAGGTCAAAACGTGGTTGAATTTCTTGAAGCCTCGATCAATAAGCTTTTGGACACAAATGCTTTTCGAGTTTTTGAACAAATTTTTTCCTATGCCCAAGACCAGTGCTCTTAAGAAACAAATTCACAATTTTTTGGAAAAATCTAATGAGCAATTTTATCAATGTTGGGATCGATACAAGGAATTGCTACAATCCATTCCACATCATGGATTTGAACCATGGCAATTGGTGAGCTTCTTCTACTTGGGGATTACACCAGGCCATCGACAGTTCATAGACATGATGTGCAATGGGTAGTTTTTAAACAAGGATCCCGATGAGGCCATATAGTACTTCAATACATTGGCACAAAATGCCCAATCATGGGATATTATGGATCCCACTAATGTACCGAGGACCTCTCTGTGGAGTAATCAACCAAGTGGAGGAGGGATGTCTCAAAAAGTGAAGAGTCTAGAGGTCAATAGGAGACATGAGGTGTCTAACATAAACAAGACCAGTGAGTTTTGCTTTATTTGTGAGAGTGTTGAGCAGTCTATATCGGAGTGCCCTAACATTTCGGCACATAAAGAGTTATACCATGAGCAAGTCAATGCCTTCAATCAAAGTAAGCAATCATTCTCCCCACACTCTAATACATACGAGGTGTTCTCTAAACCTACTTATCCATTTAAAATTCCGTCATTGTATATCATATCTTTTTTGTTGCAATGAAGACAATGCATGAATCAAGTTGGGGGGTGAGGTGCACCATTTGTATGATACACCAATTTTTTGTGAATTGTTTTTGTTGATGATACCAATTTTTGTGGTGAAATTCACTTTTCAAATGTTCTACAAATTTTTGTTTAAGAATAGTTAAGAAATATGTGAAAACTTTAAAAATGTTTGTGATAAATATCTGAATGCTGGCCTATATTCCCCTATTCAAAGTGTCATGGATTTATTGATTTTTTGACTTGTGCTTTGAATTGCGAATACATGCACATATTATAGAAGTTTATCCTATCCTAAGAGTATCACATACTTGTTTGCTTTTGAACTTAACCATAAGTACACGACGAATGTGTAATTTTGGCAATTTATAGATTGGATTCACATTTTAGTGCTTGACATGAATAGTAGAGATGAGTAAGGATCCATCAGAGCTTTAGAGCCAATCCTTGTTAGAGGGAATTTATGTTTACCCAAAAGAACATTTTTTTAAATTCCAAATTTATTCAATGATCTTATTATGCTTGTTTTGGTTAGAGTGCATTTGGGTGGTTGATTGACTTTGTCTTGAAATGCAATATGCCCTCCCATGCTTATTTAGAAATGGTTTTAGGCCATCTTTGATTTACTTTGAGCCTTAGCCCCTATTCTTGTGAGAATATTATCCCTATTGCCGTGAAATGCAAGCCAGTGAAAAATGATAAAAATTTACTACACATTGGTTGTTTTGAGAGTTGACTGTGATTGAACATAAAAGAAAAGGAATGGTGATATGGAAACCCAACAATGGGATTTATGATGTGTAATTCAAATGTTGAATGAAAAGGAATGAAGAATCCAAGAAAAGGGAGAGAAAGGGGTGAAAGAAGAAAAGGATGAGAAAAGAAAAA